TTAAAGACAGTAAATATCAGTATATCAGAGTCATTTGTTCAGTTAAAGACAGTGAAGGTCAGTATATCAGAGTCAGTCGGTCAGTTAAAGACAGTAAATTTCAGTATATCAAAGTCAGTCGGCCAGTTAAAGAAAGTAAATATCAGTATATCAGAGTCATTTGTTCAGTTAAAGACAGTGAAGGTCAGTATATCAGAGTCAGTCGGTCAGTTAAAGACAGTAAAGGTCAGTATATCAGAGTCATTTGTTCAGTTAAAGACAGTGAAGGTCAGTATATCAGAGTCAGTCGGTCAGTTAAAGACAGTAAAGGTCAGTATATCAGACTCAGTCGGCCAGTAAAAGACTGTAATGGTCAGGATATCAGAGTCAGTCTGTCAGTTAAAGACAGTGAAGTTCAGTATATCAGTGTCATTCGGACACTTAAAGACAGTAAATTTCAGTATAACAGAGTCAGTTGGCCAGTTAAAGACAGTAAAGATCAGTATATTAGAGTCATTCGGCCAGTTAAAGACAGTGAAGGTCAGTATATCAGACTCAGTCGGCCAGTAAAAGACTGTAATGGTCAGTATATCAGATTCAGTCGGTCAGTTAAAGAAAGTGAATATCAGTATATCAGAGTCATTTGTTCAGTTAGAGACAGTGAAGGTCAGTATATCAGAGTCAGTCGGTCAGTTAAAGACAGTAAATGTGAGTATATCAGAGTCACTCGGTCAGTTAAAGATAGTAAAGATTTTTCAATCAGAGTCATTTGTTCAGTTAAAGACAGTAAAGATTTTTCAATCAGAGTCAGTCGGTCAGTTAAAGATAGTAAATGTCAGTATATCAGAGTCACTCGGTCAGTTAAAGACATTGTAGATCAGTTTATCAGAGTGAGTCGGTGAGTTAAAGACAGTCAATTTCAGTGTATCAGAGTCAGTCGGTCAGTCAAAGACAGTAAATATCAGTATATCAGAGTCATTTGTTCAGTTAAAGACAGTGAAGTTCAGTATATCAGAGTCAGTCGGTCAGTTAAAGACAGTAAATTTCAGTATATCAAAGTCAGTCGGCCAGTTAAAGACAGTAAAGGTCAGTATATCAGAGTCATTTGTTCAGTTAAAGACAGTGAAGGTCAGTATATCAGAGTCAGTCGGTCAGTTAAAGACAGTAAAGGTCATTATATCAGACTCAGTCGGCCAGTAAAGACTGTAATGGTCAGTATATCAGAGTCAGTCTGTCAGTTAAAGACAGTGAAGTTCAGTATATCAGTGTCAGTCGGACACTTAAAGACAGTAAATTTCAGTATAACAGAGTCAGTTGGCCAGTTAAAGACAGTAAAGATCAGTATATTAGAGTCATTCGGCCAGTTAAAGACAGTGAAGGTCAGTATATCAGTGTCATTCGGACACTTAAAGACAGTAAATTTCAGTATAACAGAGTCAGTTGGCCAGTTAAAGACAGTAAAGATCAGTATATTAGAGTCATTCGGCCAGTTAAAGACAGTGAAGGTCAGTATATCAGACTCAGTCGGCCAGTAAAAGACTGTAATGGTCAGTATATCAGAGTCAGTCGGTCAGTTAAAGAAAGTGAATATCAGTATATCAGAGTCATTTGTTCAGTTAGAGACAGTGAAGGTCAGTATATCAGAGTCAGTCGGTCAGTTAAAGACAGTAAATGTGAGTATATCAAAGTCAGTCGGCCAGTTAAAGAAAGTAAATTTCAGTATATAATAGTCAGTGGGTCAGTTAAAGACAGTGAAGATCAGTATATCAGAGTCACTCGGTCAGTTAAAGACAGTAAAGGTCAGTATATCAGACTCAGTCGGCCAGTAAAAAACTGTAATGGTCAGTATATCAGAGTCAGTCTGTCAGTTAAAGACAGTGAAGTTCAGTATATCAGTGTCATTCGGACACTTAAAGACAGTAAATTTCAGTATAACAGAGTCAGTTGGCCAGTTAAAGACAGTAAAGATCAGTATATTAGAGTCAGTCGGTCAGTTAAAGACAGTAAAGGTCAGTATATCAGACTCAGTCGGCCAATAAAAGACTGTAATGGTCAGTATATCAGAGTCAGTCTGTCAGTTAAAGACAGTGAAGTTCAGTATATCAGTGTCATTCGGACACTTAAAGACAGTAAATTTCAGTTTGACAGAGTCAGTTGGCCAGTTAAAGGCAGTAAAGATCAGTATATCAGACTCAGTCGGCCAGTAAAGGACTGTAATGGTCAGTATATCAGAGTCAGTCGGTCAGTTAAAGAAAGTGAATATCAGTATATCAGAGTCATTTTTTCAGTTAGAGACAGTGAAGGTCAGTATATCAGAGTCAGTCGGTCAGTTAAAGACAGTAAATTTCAGTATATCAAAGTCAGTCGGCCAGTTAAAGAAAGTAAATATCAGTATATCAGAGTCATTTGTTCAGTTAAAGACAGTGAAGTTCAGTATATCAGTGTCATTCGGACACTTAAAGACAGTAAATTTCAGTATAACAGAGTCAGTTGGCCAGTTAAAGACAGTAAAGATCAGTATATAATAGTCAGTCGGTCAGTTAAAGACAGTAAAGGTCAGTATATCAGACTCAGTCGGCCAGTAAAAGACTGTAATGGTCAGTATATCAGATTCAGTCGGTCAGTTAAAGAAAGTGAATATCAGTATATCAGAGTCATTTGTTCAGTTAGAGACAGTGAAGGTCAGTATATCAGAGTCAGTCGGTCAGTTAAAGACAGTAAATGTGAGTATATCAGAGTCACTCGGTCAGTTAAAGATAGTAAAGATTTTTCAATCAGAGTCATTTGTTCAGTTAAAGACAGTAAAGATTTTTCAATCAGAGTCAGTCGGTCAGTTAAAGATAGTAAATGTCGGTATATCAGAGTCACTCGGTCAGTTAAAGACATTGTAGATCAGTTTATCAGAGTGAGTCGGTGAGTTAAAGACAGTCAATTTCAGTGTATCAGAGTCAGTCGGTCAGTTAAAGACAGTAAATATCAGTATATCAGAGTCATTTGTTCAGTTAAAGACAGTGAAGTTCAGTATATCAGAGTCAGTCGGTCAGTTAAAGACAGTAAATTTCAGTATATCAAAGTCAGTCGGCCAGTTAAAGACAGTAAAGGTCAGTATATCAGAGTCATTTGTTCAGTTAAAGACAGTGAAGGTCAGTATATCAGAGTCAGTCGGTCAGTTAAAGACAGTAAAGGTCATTATATCAGACTCAGTCGGCCAGTAAAAGACTGTAATGGTCAGTATATCAGAGTCAGTCTGTCAGTTAAAGACAGTGAAGTTCAGTATATCAGTGTCAGTCGGACACTTAAAGACAGTAAATTTCAGTATAACAGAGTCAGTTGGCCAGTTAAAGACAGTAAAGATCAGTATATTAGAGTCATTCGGCCAGTTAAAGACAGTGAAGGTCAGTATATCAGTGTCATTCGGACACTTAAAGACAGTAAATTTCAGTATAACAGAGTCAGTTGGCCAGTTAAAGACAGTAAAGATCAGTATATTAGAGTCATTCGGCCAGTTAAAGACAGTGAAGGTCAGTATATCAGACTCAGTCGGCCAGTAAAAGACTGTAATGGTCAGTATATCAGAGTCAGTCGGTCAGTTAAAGAAAGTGAATATCAGTATATCAGAGTCATTTGTTCAGTTAGAGACAGTGAAGGTCAGTATATCAGAGTCAGTCGGTCAGTTAAAGACAGTAAATGTGAGTATATCAAAGTCAGTCGGCCAGTTAAAGAAAGTAAATTTCAGTATATAATAGTCAGTGGGTCAGTTAAAGACAGTGAAGATCAGTATATCAGAGTCACTCGGTCAGTTAAAGACAGTAAAGGTCAGTATATCAGACTCAGTCGGCCAGTAAAAAACTGTAATGGTCAGTATATCAGAGTCAGTCTGTCAGTTAAAGACAGTGAAGTTCAGTATATCAGTGTCATTCGGACACTTAAAGACAGTAAATTTCAGTATAACAGAGTCAGTTGGCCAGTTAAAGACAGTAAAGATCAGTATATTAGAGTCAGTCGGTCAGTTAAAGACAGTAAAGGTCAGTATATCAGACTCAGTCGGCCAATAAAAGACTGTAATGGTCAGTATATCAGAGTCAGTCTGTCAGTTAAAGACAGTGAAGTTCCGTATATCAGTGTCATTCGGACACTTAAAGACAGTAAATTTCAGTTTGACAGAGTCAGTTGGCCAGTTAAAGGCAGTAAAGATCAGTATATCAGACTCAGTCGGCCAATAAAAGACTGTAATGGTCAGTATATCAGAGTCAGTCTGTCAGTTAAAGACAGTGAAGTTCCGTATATCAGTGTCATTCGGACACTTAAAGACAGTAAATTTCAGTTTGACAGAGTCAGTTGGCCAGTTAAAGGCAGTAAAGATCAGTATATCAGACTCAGTCGGCCAGTAAAGGACTGTAATGGTCAGTATATCAGAGTCAGTCGGTCAGTTAAAGAAAGTGAATATCAGTATATCAGAGTCATTTTTTCAGTTAGAGACAGTGAAGGTCAGTATATCAGAGTTAGTCGGTCAGTTAAAGACAGTAAATTTCAGTATATCAAAGTCAGTCGGCCAGTTAAAGAAAGTAAATATCAGTATATCAGAGTCATTTGTTCAGTTAAAGACAGTGAAGTTCAGTATATCAGTGTCATTCGGACACTTAAAGACAGTAAATTTCAGTATAACAGAGTCAGTTGGCCAGTTAAAGACAGTAAAGATCAGTATATCAGAGTCAGTCGGTCAGTTAAAGACAGTGAATGTCAGTATATCAGAGTCAGTCGGCCTGTTAAAGACAGTACATTTTAGTATATCAAAGTCAGTCGGCCAGTTAAAGAAAGTAAATTTCAGTATATAATAGTCAGTGGGTTAGTTAAGGACAGTGAAGGTCCGTATATAAGAATCGGTCGGTCAGTTTAAGACAGTAAAGATTTGTATATCAGAGTCAGTCAGTCAGTTAAAGACAGTAAAGATTAGTACCTCAGAGTAAGTCAGTTAGAGTTAGTCAGTCAGTTCATCCGTCAATAAAATGGTTTATATGTAGTTTATTGCATGATGATGTTGCGCCCGACACTGGTCCTGCTGCTGGTGGTGTTGATGCTTACCCCGGAGGAAGGGGAAGGATGGTTATGGGGCCGTAGGCGTCGGCCGGTCTACGTGAGAAAAACCACCATAAACACAAACCGTTGCCACTGCAACACGGTTCAGAAGGACATCATCAAATTGCTGAAGGATTTCTTGAGATCCAGAAAATTGGGCAAACGAGATGTTTCTACCTTGCTTGACGTTGAAGAGGATGATCCACTCCTGGAGAAATTCATGCAAAACTCAATGAACAAACGTAAATATGTTGTAAAGACACAAACAATTCGGCTCGATTCCTCTTTTTAATTTCCAGCCAGAAGTTGCACTTTTTAACGAAACCGTAATGGCGACTCGTAATGTGATTCGTGTTTTTTATTGTTTTCTTGCTCTTTATATTTTTTCGAAAAAGAGACAACATCCATCCTCTCTTCCACATCACCTTGTCCTTACATCACCTAAAATTACGCCATGCACTGCTGCAAAAACGAACTTCTGATTCTTGGGTAAATGGTGGCTCGCTCCTATCCCTTATCGATCCTGGAATTAAGGTTGTTCTGAGTTCGCATTCAGAAAGGGGATTCGAACTGGTTGTTGATTTTAATGTCACGAACGAGACAAATTGTGTGCTAACAATTAGGTTTTATTTGAATTTATTTGAAGTTAACTCTTCCTTCTTCGACGCTAAAATACCACGGAGCCCTTCATTTAAATACATGTAATTTAAATTCAGGTGATGGTCTCGTTGGCACGGAGCAGTTGTTGGCGGCTGCACAGCGTGCAGGTAGGTACCCATTGTTAGATAGTGTACCTACGGCAAACCATCAGGGTCATAATATTTTCTTTTCGGAAGAAACGTTGTTCCATTTTCTTTTTAAATGCATGAACTAGCTTTTATCTCAAACACTTTGGCCATAGGTCATTCATATATGCAGCACTAACCCTATGGAACAGTCTTCCTACTCCCATAAAAAATGCTTCATCCCTAGAAGCATTCAAATCGGGACTCAAAACCTTCCTCTTCAAAAAAGTCTACAACCTATAACTGCGAAATATTCTCACGGTTATTTTTGGCTAATTGTCATATCTTCCTCTTGAACTCTAGTGACTCTTTTTATATGTAGCGCCTTGAGCATGCTCTGGATGG